AGTTGGAGCTGGACGTGGGAAAGAGAGCTTCCCTCCCCCGCCCGCCCTGTTTGGTGAATGTTGTGTTCCTCCTGGGGGGGGGGGGGGTGATTTTGGTTCCTGGGCGGTGGTTGGTCTTTGGAGGGCGGGGTTCTTATCTTGGAGGTACAAAATGGTGTGGGACCCATCGTTGGTATGGTGTGCCCGGGAACATTCCCAGTTAACCGAGGTTTAACTGGAAGGTGGTGGTGCTGCACTGCGGACAGTATGGTTGTCTCCGAGCTGGTTGGTTGCGGCTGGAGGCCTAGTGGAATATGGTTGTCCGCAGGTGCATTTCGGATCGTTTTGGGGGTGCCTTCAAAGACCAACGACAACTCTTTATGTTTTCTGTTATAAGGAATGGTTGATGTGTTTAAACTTGATTGGTTAATAAAAGGCCGTGCTGGCCATTTTACTCCAAAATTGGTGTTGTGTTTTCTGTAAGTATAGTAAGTAAAGGGGATTGGTATGGAAGGGTAATGGTGGTGTAGTGGGGTCTGGATGAACCTATCTCGGGTGCACTAGTCATGTGTAGCAGCAAATAATTGTCTGAGGATTTGAGAACAAAAATTGTGGAAAAGCACGGACAATCTCAAGGTGACAAGTCCATCTCCAGAGATCTTAATGTTCCTGTGTCCACTGCGTGCAACATTGTCAAGAAGTTTACAGCCCATGGCACTATAGCTAATTTCCCTGGATGTGGATGAAAGAGAAAAATTGATCAAAGATTGCAACAAAGGATTGTTGGAATGGTGGCTAAAGAACCTTGATCAACTTCCAGACAAATTCAAGCTGACCTTCAGGCACAGGGTACAACTGTGTCAGCTCGCATTATACGTCACCATCTGAATGAAAAGGAACGCTATGGTAGGAGACCCAGGAAGACCCCACTGCTGACACACAAACATAAAAAAGCCAGATTGGAGTTTGCCAAAACTTACATGAGGAAGCAAAAATCCTTTAGGGAGAATGTGCCATGGACAACAAAACAACATTTTTTTTGTTTTTCTGTTTTCAAAAAAAGCAATGAGGCCTTTAAAGAAAAGAATCCAGTCCCTCCAGTCACAGATTGTGGAGGTTCACTGATGTTTTCGGGTTGCTTTGCTGCTTCAGGCACTGGATGTCTTGATCATGTGTATGGAATTATGAAATGTGAAGACTACTACAGAATTCTGAGGTGCAAAGTAGGGCCCAGTGTCAGAAAGTTGGGTCTCCATCAGAGTTCATGGGTCTTACAGCAGGACAATAACCCAAAGCACATGTCAAAAAGCCCCCAGAGATGGTTCCAGACAAAGCGCTGGAGAGGCCTGAACTGGCCAGCAAAGAGTCCAGATTTCAATCCCATAGAGCTCCTGTGGAGAGATCTCAAAACAGCAGTTGGAAAAAGGAACCCTTCCAATCTGAGAGACCCGGAGCAGTTGGTGAAAGAGTGGTCCAAAATTACAGTAGAGAGGTGGAAGAAACTCATTGGTGGTTACAGGAAGCCACTGATTTCAGTTATGTTTTCCAAGGGGTTGAATTTGGCAGCATTCTTCAACTTTCTTTCAGGTACTTATACCTCACCATCAATTTATGCAGCGCTATATATATATATATATATATATATATATATATATATATATATATATTACATTCCCATCAGTCCCTAACCCTCAAGGAGCATACAATCTAAGGTCCCTAACTCACATTCATACATACACATACAAGGGCCAATTTAGACAGGAGCCAATTAACCTACCAACATGTTTTTGCTGTGTGGCAGGAAACCGGAGTACCCGGAGGAAACTCACGCAGGCACAAGGAGAACATGCAAACTCCAGGCAGGTGGTGCCGTGGCTGGGATACGAACCAATGACCCTAGTACTGCCAGGGGGAAGTGCTAACCATTTAGCCACTGTGCTGCCAATTTGATTTGTTTGGTGTATCGGTGTGTAGGTAGGGGCAGTGTGGTGTGGCGCCAGTAATGACACAGAGTCCAGTCGCCAACAACCTAAAATTTGTTTTGAAGAGATGGTCTAACTACAAACGATCCATTGGCGGAGCGCCACACTGAGTAGCACTCACAGTTCTGTGCAAAGCAGAGAGGAAGCAGGTAAAGATGCACCGACAGCGTCTGTTTCAGAGGGTGCAATGTGGCCTGACTGGTCCGGTCCCAATGGGAAGGCTTTCCAAAGCAGGATGGTGTGTCCTAGCCTGTCCCTACTCATCCGGGACCTCTTCCTGGCGCTCATCACTTTCCCCAACAGACAGGTGCTCTTTCCCTACTCTATCCACTTCGCAAATACGCTCCAAAACCTGGGGGCAGGGAGTTAAGACTCAGCTGACTCAGGATGGCTGCCTCAGGGGACCAGGAACCCATAGAGAAACCAGGTTTCTCTTGACTTCCTCTTATGCTGCAGTACCGCTCCAGTCAAGCACCACCTACAGTGGAGAAAGCAGTCTGCACCTGCCTACCGATGGTACTGTTGGGTCCAGGTATAGGTAGGACATCAGTAGGAGAACCCAACATCTCCAGGAGCTCTTTTGAAGGGTATTACTACATTTTTATCTAACTGCTGCTCAGATTTAAGCTTTCCAATATGAAAACCTAATAAATATTTGCAATTAATCATATATCTAAATTTAATCCAACAACACGTAAAGAAAATTATAAATAAAACACATATAAAAATAATTCCGTGCCTCACCTGCCGAAATCCTGGTGAGTTACATTCCACCCGTAAACATATGCAATTAAATCTGTGGAGACTGAAATACATCCAGCTTCACCTGTCACACATCTTGCGGGCTGATAAATAAACATATATCTCTTATACCTTCAGCTGCCTGCGCATTTCCAGCACTGAAATGCATTGAATAATTCCACCAAGTGCCTGCTTAATAAAATTCACACTGAATGCAGGTCAATAAAACATATGGTGTATTTCGGGACACGGTTACCCCTGGAGGTCGGAAAGAAATTTGTTGAAAAAAAAAAAAAAAAAGCCGCATGCATGATTAAACTTGAAATAATGGTGGAGCTACTGGAAACTGCATCCCTCTACTTTAATTCTGCATGCAGCTGTATTTTTAGAATAGGTTGTCGACGGGTAGGAGTCAAGCTGTTGCTTCATGCAGATTTTATTTTGTGTGCCCCAGGCGCAGAGTATGGAAACATAGTAGAGGGCGGTGGATTTGATATACAGTCAGGTCCATAAATATTGGGACATCGACACAATTCAAACATTTTTGGCTCTCTACACCACCACAATGGATTTGAAATGAAACGAACAAGATGTGCTTTAACTGCAGACTGTCAGCTTTAATTTGAGGGTATTTACATCCACATCAGGTTAACGGTGTAGGAATTACAACAGTTTGCATATGTGCCTCCCACTTGTTAAGGGACCAAAAGTAATGGGACAATTGGCTTCTCAGCTGTTCCATGGCCAGGTGTGTGTTATTCCCTCATTATCCCAATTACAATGAGCAGATAAAAGGTCCAGAGTTCATTTCAAGTGTGCTATTTGCATTTGGAATCTGTTGCTGTCAACTCTCAAGATGATCCAAAGAGCTGTCCCTATCAGTGAAGCAAGCCATCATTAGGCTGAAAAAACAAAACAAACCCATCAGAGAGATAGCAAAAACATTAGGCGTGGCCAAACCAACTGTTTGGAACATTCTTAAAAAGAAGGAACGCACCGGTGAGCTCAGCAACACCAAAAGACCCGGAAGACCACGGAAAACAACTGTGGTGGATGACCGAAGAATTCTTTCCCTGGTGAAGAAAACACCCTTCACAACAGTTGCCAGATCAAGAACACTCTCCAGGAGGTAGGTGTATGTGTGTCAAAGTCACCAATCAAGAGAAGACTTCACCAGAGTGAATACAGAGGGTTCACCACAAGATGTAAACCATTAGTGAGCCTCAAAAATAGGAAGGCCAGATTAGAGTTTGCCAAACGACATCTAAAAAAGCCTTCACAGTTCTGAAACAACATCCTATGGACAGATGAGACCAATGCAGGGTACAGGAAGACCAGATATTGTGAATGCAGGGTACGGGGAGACCAGATATAGTGAATGCAGGGTATGGGGAGTCCAGATATAGTGAATGCAGGGTACGGGGAGACCAGATATAGTGAATGCAGGGTACGGGGAGTCCAGATATAGTGAATGCAGACTCTGGGGAGAACAGATATAGTGAATGCGGGGTCCGGGGAGAGCGGATATAGTGAATGCAGGGTCCGGGGAGACCAGATATAGTGAATGCAGGGTCCAGGGAGACTGGATATAGTGAACGCAGGGTCTGCGGAGACCAGATATTGTGAATGCAGGGTCTGGGGAAACCAGATATAGTGAATGCAGGGTCCGGGGAGAGCGGATATAGTGAATGCAGGGTCCGGGGAGACCAGATATGTGAATGCAGGGTCCAGGGAGACCAGATATAGTGAATGCAGGGTCCGGGGAGAGCGGATATAGTGAATGCAGGGTCCGGGGAGACCGGATATAGTGAATGCAGGGTCCGGGAGACCGGATATAGTGAATGCAGGGTCCGGGGAGACCGGATATAGTGAATGCGGGGTCCGGGGAGACCGGATATAGTGAATGCGGGGTCCGGGGAGAGCGGATATAGTGAATGCAGGGTCCGGGGAGAGCGGATATAGTGAATGCGGGGTCCGGGGAGAGCGGATATAGTGAATGCAGGGTCCGGGGGAGACCGGATATAGTGAATGCGGGGTCCGGGGAGACCGGATATAGGGAATGCGGGGTCCGGGGAGACCGGATATAGTGAATGCGGGGTCCGGGGAGAGCGGATATAGTGAATGCAGGGTCCGGGGAGACCAGATATAGTGAATGCAGGGTCCGGGGAGACCGGATATAGTAAATGCAGGGTCCGGGGAGACCGGATATAGTGAATGCAGGGTCCGGGGAGACCGGATATAGTGAATGCAGGGTCCGGGGAGACCGGATATAGTAAATGCAGGGTCTGCGGAGACCAGATATTGTGAATGCAGGGTCCGGGGGAGACCAGATATAGTGAATGCAGGGTCCGTGGAGACCGGATATAGTGAATGCAGGGTCCGGGGAGACCGGATATAGTGAATGCAGGGTCCGTGGAGACCGGATATAGTGAATGCAGGGTCCGGGAGACCGGATATAGTGAATGCAGGGTCCGGGGGAGACCAGATATAGTGAATGCAGGGTCCGGGGAGACCGGATATAGTGAATGCAGGGTCCGTGGAGACCGGATATAGTGAATGCAGGGTCCGTGGAGATATAGTGAATGCAGGGTCCGGGGAGACCAGATATAGTGAATGCAGGGTCCGGGGAGACCAGATATAGTAAATGCATGGTCTGCGGAGACCAGATATTGTGAATGCAGGGTCCGGGGGAGACCAGATATAGTGAATGCAGGGTCCGGGGGTTTAGTAAAAAAATATATATATATAGCATATACAATTGCAACTCAAGTTATATTGTAATTTAATGTTATTAAAAATTACTTTCCTTTTCAATCTGCAGCGCTGTAATTTTCTGTGCAATGCAATATGCCTACCTGGAGGGGTTCTGTACACAAATGGTGTACAGAACATCCCTTTCCTACTTGTGTAATCGGTTTCCTGATTTTTCCAGAAGTCTGCATTAAGATTCAAGTCAAATTTTGGGCATCTAAAGGGATGCAGACCCTGCCACTTTCCTCATTAGAGCCCGGCAGGTGCAGCAGCTGATTAATAATTATAAAACCACTCCCATACAGATTCACTCTGCACATGGACACAGACAAACAAACAGCTATTCAGAATAACAAAAGGTAGGGATCTGCAACAACGTTTGTTAAGATCCCTGCAATGTACATAGATAACCCAGAAGACAATGTTTTTTTCTCAACAACAGTAGAGTTACTCTTTAAAATAGGTCAAATGCTCATAATATTTCATTGAAGTCGACCTTCATCCCAGAAAACAAACTGTTTGCATCTGGCTCCATCCCCCTAGAGGGGAAAATAATTATTGGATCCCCTGCAGATTTTGTAAGTTTGCCCACTTACAAAGAAATGAAGGGTCTGTAGTTTTTATCATAGGTTTGTTTTAAATGATAGACACAGAACATCAAGAAAAAATCCAGAAAAAAACGCATGATACTAAAACCAGTATTTGATCCCCAAGCAAAACATGACTTTGGACTTGGTGGAGAAACCCTTGTTGGCCAGAACAGAGGTAGGATGTTTCTTGTAGTAGGTTCCCAGGTTTGCAGACATCTCAGGAGGGATTTTGGGCCACTTTCCTCTACAGATCCTCTCTAAATCATTAAGGTTTCTTGGCTGTCGCTTGACAACTCAAAGTTTCATCTCCCTCCATATATTTTCTATAGGATTAAGGTCTGGGGACTGGCTAGGCCACATCATGACTTTAACCACTTCCCGACCGGCCGTTGCATATAAACGGCCAGACGGTGGCAGTGCAGGGTCGGGTGGCCGTTTATAAACGGCCTCCCCACACCCTGCTTGTGTGCGCTCCCTGGGAGCGCGCAGCACCGCGATCCGGTGCCCGCAGTGTCCTCCGGACACAGTGAAACACCGATCATTGGATGGGACCTCTGTACGAGGTCCCGATCGTGTGATCACTGATTGGCCAATCAGTGATCACATGCAAAGTAGTAAGCAAGATGTCACTTGTGACATCATTGCTTACTACATGTGAAATCTGTGAATGATCACAGAAGTCACATGGTACAAGGCTATTCACAACAGCCTTGTACCATGTGACAAGGTGTGACCAATCACAGCTCACTCAGTACTTCTCAATGAGTGCAAGAATGCACACAGAGAGAAAGAGAAATGATTGCTTTTACATCCTATATGGGTGAAAAAGCAATGTGTAAAAAAAAAATCTTCATCACCCCCCACAAGTAGTACAGTGTCACCATGGTGACACTGTACTGCTAGGGTGACAGTATGTAAAAAAAAAAAAAATAAATACAAAATAATAATATAAATAAATAAAATAAAAATGTAAAAAAAAATGTTTAAAAATTATTATTTTTGGTTGTAAACTAATTTGGATTTTTTTTTTACCTAAAAAGATAACGGAATACATTTTGGCAAAGATTTATGATGAATAAATGAAATAAAAATCCCAGCGGTGAATAAATACCACCAAAATAAAGCTTTATCTGTCTCAAAAAAATGGTAAAAAATTAATTTGGGTACAGTGTTGCATGACCGCGCAATTGTCATTCAAAGGGTGATAGCGCTGAAAGCTGAAAATTGCCCTGGACAGGAAGGGGGTAAAAGTGTCCGGTCTGGAAGTGGTTAATGGTCTTCTTCTTGAGCCACTCCTTTGTTGCCTTGGTGGTATGTTTTGGGTCATTGTCATTCTGGAAGACCCATCCACGACCCATCTTCAGTGTTCTGGCTGAGGGAAGAAGGTTCTCATCCAAGAGTTTACAATACATGGCCCGTCCATCAGCAACCCAATGCGGCAAAGTTGGCCTGTACCTTTAGCAGAGAAATAGTCCCAAAGCATAATGTTTCCACCTCCATGCTTGACCCTAGGGATGGTGTTCTTTGGGTCATAGTCGGCATTTTTCTTCTTCCAAACACGGTGAGTTGAGTTAATGCCAAAGAGCTCAATTTTGGTCTCATCTGACCACAGCACTTTATCCCAATCCTTCTCTGAAGCATTTAGATGTTCATTGGCAAACTTCAGCCGGGCCTGGACATGAGTCTTCTTGAGGAGGGGACCTTAGGGTGCTGTAGATATCAATCCATGGCTGCATATTGTGTTATCAATGGTTTGTTTGGTGACTCTGGTCCCAAGCTCCTCCTGTGTAGTTCTGATCCCTCACTTTTCTCATGATCATCCTTACCCCATGAGGTGAAATCTTGCATGGAGCTACAGTCTGAGGGTGATTGATGGGTATTTTGTATTTTTAGGTGTCTTTTATACACATACAGAGTTGTCGTTAAGAGCATCTTCTTAAATTTACAGGACTGATCTGTGTACCTCATGGGCACATCGCCAGTCTGTGGGAGCCAAAATTATTGTTGGTTGGGTAGAGGAGTTTTCCTAAAAATAATGACAAAAATGACAACTTCAAAAAAACTTGCCAGGCTCTGGTGTGATAGGGAGGTTTCTGATGTGATGGGGACTCTGATGTGATGGGGATCTTCTAATGGGAAGGGACACTCTAAAGTAATAGAGAGGTTTCTGATGTGATGGGAGTCTTCTAATGTGAAGGGGGAGCTCTAATGTGATAGAGACCTTCCTGATGTGATGGGGATTCTGATGTGATGGGAGTCTTCTAATGTGAAGGGGGGGGGGGGCTCTAATGTGATAGGAAGATTTCTAATGTGATGGGGGGGGGGGGGGGCTCTGGTGTGATAGGGAGATTTCTGATGTGAAGGGGAGCTATGATGTGATGGGGGTCTTCTAATATGGGAGGGGGGTGGCTCTAATTTAATAGAGAGGTTTCTGATGTGATGGGGGGCTCTGGTGTGATAGGAAGGTTTCTGATGTGAAGGGGGTTTATGATGTGATAGGGGTCTTCTAATGTGAAGGGGGGAGCTCTAATGTAATAGAGAGGTTTCTGATGGAGGGTCCTGATGTTATGAGGGTCTTCTAATGTGAGGAGGGGGCTCTAATGTAATAGAGAGGTTTCTGATGGGGGGCTCTGATGTTATGAGGGTCTTTTAATGTGAAGGGGAGGGCTCTAATGTAATAGAGAGGTTTCTGATGGGGGGCTCCGATGTTATGGGGGTCTTCTAATGTGAAGGGGGGCTCTAATGTAATAGAGAGGTTTCTGATGGGGGGCTCTGATGTTATGAGGGTCTTCTAATGTGAAGGGGGGGCTCTAATGTAATAGAGAGGTTTCTGATGGAGGGCTCTGATGTTATGAGGGTCTTCTAATGTGAAGGGGGGGGGGGGCTCTAATCTAATAGAGAGGTTTCTGATGGGGGGCCCTGATGTTATGAGGGTCTTCTAATGTGAAGGGGGGGGGGGGGCTCTAATGTAACAAAGAGGTTTCTGATGGGGGGCCCTGATTTTAAGAGGGTCTTCTAATGTGAAGGGGGGGGGGGGCTCTAATCTGATAGGGAGGTTTCTAATGTGAAGGGGAGCTATGATGTGATAGGGGTCTTCTACTATGAAGGGGGGTGGCTCTAATTTAATAGAGAGGTTTCTGATGTGATGGGGGGCTCTGGTGTGATAGGAAGGTTTCTGATGTGAAGGGGGTCTATGATGTGATGGGGGTCTTCTACTGTGAAAGGGGGGCTCTAATGTAATAGAGAGGTTTCTGATGGGGGGCTCTGGTGTGATAGGAAGGTTTCTGATGTGAAGGGGGTCTATGATGTGATGGGGGTCTTCTAATGTGAAGGGGGGACTCTAATGTAATAGAGAGGTGTCTGATTGGGGACCCTGATGTTATGAGGGTCTTCTAATGTGAAGGGGGGGGACTCTAATGTAATAGAGAGGTGTCTGATGGGGGGCTCTGATGTGATGGTTGTCTTCTAATGTGAAGGGAGGGCTCTAATGTAATAGAAAGGTTTTTGATGGGGGCCCCTGATGTTATGAGGGTCTTCTAATGTGAAAGGGGGGCTCTAATCTGATAGGGAGGTTTCTAATGTGAAAGGGAGCTATGATGTGATGGGGGTCTTCTAATATGAAGGGGGGTGGCTCTAATTTAATAGAGAGGTTTCTGATGTGATGGGGGGCTCTGGTGTGATAGGAAGGTTTCTGATGTGAAGGGGGTCTATGATGTGATGGGGGTCTTCTACTGTGAAAGGGGGGCTCTAATGTAATAGAGAGGTTTCTGATAGGGGGCTCTGATGTTATGGGGGTCTTCTACTGTGAAAGGGGGGCTCTAATGTAATAGAGAGGTTTCTGATGGGGGGCTCTGGTGTGATAGGAAGGTTTCTGATGTGAAAGGGGGTCTATGATGTGATGGGGGTCTTCTAATGTGAAGGGGGGTGGCTCTAATGTAATAGAGAGGTGTCTGATGGGGGCTCTGATGTTATGGTGGTCTTCTAATGTGAAGGGGGGGGGGGGCTCTAATGTAATAGAGAGGTTGCTGATAGGGGGCTCTGATGTTATGGGGGTCTTCTACTGTGAAAGGGGGGCTCTAATGTAATAGAGAGGTGTCTGATGGGGGGCTCTGATGTTATGGGGGTCTTCTAATGTGAAAGGGGGGACTCTAATGTAATAGAGAGGTGTCTGATGGGGGGCTCTGATGTGATGGTGGGTCTTCTAATGTGAGGGGGGGGGCTCTAATGTAATAGAGAGGTTTCTGATGGGGGGCCCTGATGTTATGAGGGTCTTCTAATGTGAAGGGGGGGCTCTAATCTGATAGGGGGCTCTGATGTAAAGAGGAAACTTCTGATGCAATGGGGGGGGGGGGGGGGTTCTGATATGAAGTTATTTCTTTGGCGTATTTATTTATTCATTTGAATGTTATTACTTCAAAGTAAAGTAAATGAAAACTTTTTTCCGGTCCATGCTGAGAAGTTGGGAGCCCCTTGATCCAAGCTTGTCCTAGCAGTAGAGCAGTTAATCAGAGGCCCCCCGAAGTTTTCTCCACCGGCAGCCTCTCCTATCCGGTTTACACTTCTGGGCTCCAATTAGCCGCTTGTGTGTCCTATAGGCAAGGTTGCCGCAGAGAATAACAAATATAGCTTTCAGCCCGAGGCGAGCCGGAGACATGAGCAGCAGATGTCATCTTTGGAAACCCACTCAGCACAAACACGGTGACAGTTCCTCCGGAACGCCGGCGTCCCGGGGTCCGGACTCCTGAGCAGCGCACAACTGTGACAGGGCTGTGTGCGCTCGTCTGCCGGGTAATTGCCGGAGCACAGGCTTGTGTGTCATTAAATGGAGGGATAGGAAGAGACGAAAAAAAAAAAAAAAAGTGACGGAAAGGCAAAAAAAATGCCGCGCCTAGCAATACTTTTTCTGTTGCGTTCATAAAAGCACGCGGACGCGGAACATTTGTTTTCAGTGTAATATAATTGGGGAGGAGGACCGCACCGGGCCTGGAAGTCATCAAGTCATTTATCACAACCGAAACGCTCATTTATCATTCTCGGAAAAAAGTTTCTGGCGCCCAAAATCCTTATACAGCGAAGTACGCTACTCTTAGGGCTCCTTCACACTTGACTTTTTTTTCCAACTCTTGCGTTTGACAAGCGTTGGTCTGGTGTTTGCGCTCCAAAAACGCTGTATGCGCGGTTTAGCGGAGGTTGATAGGCGTTTGCCAAGCATTAAAAACGCACCACAAACGAATATAATGAAGTTTGAATGGTGTTAACGCTCTGCCACCGCGTCGCAAATGCACCGCAAACGCCAGCCGGGCGTTTACGGAGCGGCACCATAGGCTTGAATAGGAGGCTTCAACTCCTCCTGACTCGACCAGAGGCGTCCGTTTTGCCGCGACGCTCCCGTGTGAACAGCACTATGTGCTGCAATGTGCAGAAATTTCTGAGGCGTTTGGAAAACGGTATTAAAAACGCTTCCCAAACGCCTGTCTGATGCCTGCTGACAAGGCTAGTGTGACCGTAGCCTTAGGCTCCATTCACACCTAGTGTAGTGCGGCCGAACGAATGTTTTTCGAATGATCCGCACAGGGCGGCCCATTCACCTGAATGGACTGCTCTACATGCGACAAATGTGCCAAAGACGCTCCTACGCTTTTTTGGGCATAGAGCTTCACGTGTGTTTTTATTACTGGGCAATTTTGGAGCGATTGTGTTGCATTTGTCACGCGTTTTGCCGCACACAAAAGTGCACATCTGTTGGCTGTGTTTGGGGTGCCGGGGAGAGCGGATATGACCGGATATAGTAAATGCAGGGTCCTGGGAGACCAGATATAGTGAATGCAGGGTCCAGGGGGGAGAGCGGATATTGTGAATGCAGGGTCCGGGGAGACCGGATATAGTAAATGCAGGGTCCGGGGAGACCAGATATAGTGAATGCAGGGTCATAGGAGACCAGATATAGTGAATGCAGGGTCCTGGGAGACCAGATATAGTGAATGCAAGGTCCGAGGAGACCAGATATAGTGAATGCAGGGTCCGAGGAGACCGGATATAGTGAATGCGGGGTCCTGGGAGAGCAGATATAGTGAATGCAGGGTCCGGGGGAGACCAGATATAGTGAATGCAGGGTCCGGGGAGACCAGATATAGTGAATGCAGGGTCCGGGGAGACCGGATATAGTGAATGCAGGGTCTGGGGAGACCAGATATAGTGAATGCAGGGTCCGGGGAGAGCGGATATAGTGAATGCAGGGTCCAGGGAGACCAGATATAGTGAATGAAGGGTCCGGGGAGAGCGGATATAGTGAATGCAGGGTCTGGGGAGACAGGATATAGTGAATGCAGGGTCTGGGGAGACAGGATATAGTGAATGCAGGGTCCGGGGAAACCAGATATAGTGAATGCAGGGTCCGGGGAGACAGGATATAGTGAATGCAGTGCTGGGGTGACCGGATATAGTGAATGCAGGGTCCGGGGAGACCAGATATAGTGAATGCAAGGTCCGGGGAGACCAGATATAGTGAATGCAAGGTCCGGGGAGACCGTATATATAGTGAATGCGGGGTCCGGGGAGAGAGGATATAGTGAATGCAGGGTCCGGGGAGACCAGATATAGTGAATGCAGGGTCCGGGGAGACCAGATATAGTGAATGCAGGGTCCGGGGAGACCGTATATAGTGAATGCAGGGTCCGGGGAGAGAGGATATAGTGAATGCAGGGTCCGAGGAGACCAGATATAGTGAATGCAGGGTCCGGGGAGACCAGATATAGTGAATGCAGGGTCTGGAGGACCAGATATAGTGAATGCAGGGTCCGGGGAGACCAGATATAGTGAATACAGGGTCCGGGGGGGAGACCAGATATAGTGAATGCAGGGTCCGGGGAGACCAGATATAGTGAATGCAGGGTCTGGGGTTTGGTAACACTTTAATGGCTAGGGTTAGGGGTAATCATTAGGGTTAGTGGTTTTCGTTAAGGATAGCATTTCAGCCCTAACAATTACCCCTAACCCTACCTCTATCTCTAACCCGAATCCTAACATTTAACCCTCACACGAGACTTGGACACACAAAGGTTCCTGCACTACTTTCATGTGACTTTGATGCTACTTGAGTACCCAGAGAGTGTAAAGTCGCATCAAAGTTGCACCACATGAACAGAACTGTCATACTTTTCTATTAGCAAAAAAAAAAACCCGCAAAAAGCAAAACATGGCACAAACGTGGCACTCTTTTTTTTGTGTTTTTGGTGCGGGTCCGTTCAAGTTTATTACACACAAAATGAAATCTGCCGTGGGAAAAAAAAGTCCCTGACCCTTTTCAAAAAACACACGGGCTCAGAACGCACAGATGTGAACTAGATCCATGTTAAATGGGCTGTAGTGCATTTCTGCCACCTGGAAAACGCACTGAAATCCACATAAGTGTGAACCTAAGGTTATGGAGATATTAGGGGTCTATTATATCCCCAATATCTCCCCTACCCTCCTAAGCAGCTAATCAAGCACAGGTTGTGCTTGATTAACTGCTTCCCTGGCTCTCCCTTCCTCCATCTCCTCTATGTTCACTGCTTCTGGGCATTTAGCACAGATCCAGGAACAGCCTGAGGCCGGTTATGGGGTGGCAGGAGGAGAGGTGGCTCTTTTCAGCACCTTAAGGCTGCATTCACACCTGCGTGTTTCCTAAACATATGACACACAAAAATGTGCTTCCTTCATTGTCTCAGCTTCACTTGGGGGCATTACCATGCAAATGCAGCCTCCCCTGGAACTCCCAATCAGGGGTGGACTGACAACTCATGGGGCCCCCAGGTAATAGGGGCTCATGAGGCCCCTGTGTCCTTGCCCAAACTCAAAAAAATCCTATGAAAAATGTACCAGGGGCATCTCATGGGGCCCCCTACTGACCCCGGGCCCTTGGGCTGTGCTCGAGTTTCCAAATGGTCAGTCCGCCCCTGGTCCCAATGAGGACCAACTGAGGACCACAGCTGTATGGCAACTGGTGGGCCAGTGCTAAGGGCAGTTTGGGTAAACAGAAAGGGGATGGGGGGGGGGGGGGGGGGGTAACAAACCAAGCCTCAAAATGCACAAACTGTGAGAACATTTTTCTTTGTCTCTTTCCAGCTTTGGACCACAATTTGGACATTTTGGACTAAATTTAACAAAAAATGTATAGTGTCAGGGGGTAGCTGGGGATGTGTAACAATCAACCTTGAGCCTTCACAATCTGCTGTTAAGGTCTCTGTAGCACACACCTGCTCCAATCAGGAGTGTTTAAATAGACTGCTGAACGTTTAGTCTGTGCCCAGGGGTGGACTGACAACTCATGGGGCCCCGGGCAATAGGGGATCATGGGGCCCCTGTGTCCTTGCCCAAACTCAAAGAAGCCTATGAAAAAGGTACCAGGGGCATCTCATGGGGCCCCCTACTGACCCCGGGCCCTCGAGCAGTGCCCGAGTTTCCAAATGGTCAGTCCGCCCCTGCTCCCAATGATACCCATTTTTGAATGCATTTTAATATTTACATACCCGTCCCAACAGCCAGCCCACTGCTTACATCAGGACTGAGGGATTGTGAGAGGAGTACTGAGGCTGGGTGCTGTGATGTTTTCAGTAAGCTATGCACTGCACCCTGCTAGCCCTTCCCACCAGCCATGATTTGCCTGAATTTCATAGGGAAGCACAGAGATCCAGTGATGACATCACCAGGTCTAAAATAAAGTATTTCAGGAAACCAGAAAGATTTTAATTAATAAATTAATTAGCATGCCGACGAGGGGTTTAACCTCCCTGGCAGTATTCCCGAGTGTAGCTCGGGGTAAAATATCAGTGCCAAAAGCGGTGACCCCGAGCTACACTCGGGCTTACCATGCAGCGTTGCTCAGGGAGTCCCTGCAGTGCTTACCTTGTCCTTCGCTTCTGCGATGTGTCCCCTGCAGCGTCCCCGGCCATCTCCTCCGGCCGATGCTGGCATCTGGCTTCTGTGTTCGGTCCCTGTGACGTCGGGACGTACGAAATTTGAAAATTTTAAAAAATGTTATTTTTTTTCAAACAAATTTTACATAGCAAAACATTGCTATTTCAACCCATTTCACATACATTTTGTCCCGAGTGCTTTGTCCGGCGCCCTGCCTGCATTTTGACTGTTGTTTCTGCCTGGAAACTGAGAAACGTCCATGGCGTCCAAAAAGCGTCCCTTTAGGTCAAAAGCGGTTTTAGACCGGCTAGAGAACAGCGATAGTAAATCAGAACCACTTGCAGAATTGAGTGATAATGATTCGTGGGGGAAATTCCTCATCAGACACTGAGAACGATTCTGCGACTTTGCTCAGCGATGTGCAAACTTGGCGCTATATTTCACATTTCAGTGTTTTTGGTTTGATTATATTATTGAATTAAATTTATTATTATTTTTTATGATTATTTATTAAATTATAATTTATGATTTCGTGTTTCAAATTTTATCATACCCGGGATGTTTAATTGACTCTTGTTCGGACAGATTTCAGTGAGTTATTCCTAAAAATTACAGGCCTACAATAAAAAACTACATATTTCCATGCAAAATAATGGTACCGCTTTCAGCACCAAAAATCTGAAATAATCATACCGCCAGGGAGGTTAAGGGAAACCAGAGAAGGCAAAATATAAGCAGCTTAAACTTCAGCTGGATAGTGACACTATCACTTGATTTTATCATGGCCGCTACGGTTGGGCATATCTCGACCTTGGAAAACATAAATTTCCATTTATGAGCGGAGTTACTCTTTAAAAGGACTACATAAAACCATAACCGAGAGCTATGTCATTTCTACGGCACCCTTCAACCAGAGACGCAAACATAAACGGGAAGCGTCAAGAAGAGCCGGAAAGGCCAGAGAGTCGCCACGCATGTCATCAAAAGCCATTTGTCATCCATTCCGACGGGTTTTCCTGCCTGAAACTCCCATATAAAAGGAAAAATATTAGCTACAAGCAGAAGGACGGCGATAAAAAATCCGCCGCGGTGTACGCGCTCCGGCCCACCGTCTATCACCCGTGCCGATATGGCCACATCATCTCGAGAGAATGACACAGTATATTTTAATTCGGTATCACAGAATGTTGTTGGAGAGACGGAACCTTCAGTCCGCGCAATTATCAGAGCTCTATAAAGCAGCCGCGACCGAAGACGACGGGGAAAGGGATTCTCTGCCGTAAAACACAACATTACAATGATAAACTCTCCGCGTCTTATCTCTCCCGCGTCTCTTACCGCCTCTTCCACCGCCGCGCAGGCTGTCAGGCCCGGAATTATTTGAGCAACTTTTTTTTTTTTTTATTATTTATTCGGGAGGAGGAAAGCGCAGATGGACCCACTTGGGACCGTAACCGGGTTATCGCGGAAATGGAAATGCGCTCTCCAATGATAAGGGAGATAGACGATGAGATTGAGAAGTGAAAACCTGCTTTGTGGCCGTATTAAAAAGCTGTCTTGCTGGGTTGTCACCTGAAGATAAAGTTGTAAGGAGTTTAATTTGATGAATTGGATGTACGCCGCACTTCACCGATCTGAGCCGCACCGCGTTTTTTTTTTTTTTAATAAACAGAGAGATGAAAAACTATTTATTTGTGCCGTGCCGTCCCTCCATCTTGAAGCAAGAACGTGACATCTCAGACAGGAGGGCATGCGGGTGCGTTTAAAGGGGAATTGTTACAAGAGAAATACTGATGGGCAGCACAGTGGCTAAATGGTTAGCACTTCCACCTGGCAGTACTAGGGTTGTTGTTCAAATCCCAACCCTGGCACCACCTTCCTGGAGTTTGCATGTTCTCCTTGGGACTGTGTGGGTTTCCTCTGGGTACTCCGGTTTCCTCCCACACTTCAAAGACATGCTTGTAGGTTAATTGGCTCCTGTACAGGGCGGACTGACCATTTGGAAACTCGGGCACTGCCTGAGGGCCCGGGGTCAGTAGGGGGCCCCATGAGATGCCCCTGGTACCTTTTTCATAGGCTTTTTTGAATTTGGGCAAGGACAAAGGGAACCCACGATCCCCTATTGCCCGGGGGCCCCATGAGTTGTCAGTCCGCCCCTGCTCCTGTCTAAATTGGCCCTAGTATGTGTATGTATGAATGTGAGTTAGGGACCTTAGATTGTACGCCCCTTGAGGGTTAGGGACTGAGTTGAATGTACAATATATATGTAAAGCACTGCGTACATTGACGGCGCTATATAAATACCTGAAATAAATAAAATAAATACTGATGGTGACCCCCTGAAAATGCTGGTTGCCTGGCTGTTATGCCAAATCATTGACTGTAATAATTCTAGAGCAAGGATGGATGGAGTGCTTTGAACGAAATTGACTTTGCAGTGAAAATACAGATTTTTGTCTTTGCTTAGGGCTCATGTACACTGCAGCGGCTAAAACTGACGTTCAGGAGCATTTTTTTCAGCTAATGAAAGAAGACCGATGGCTGGGCCCACAGATTCAGAGGGTACACGATGCCACACAGACACAGACAGCGGTTCTTTTAAAACAATTACGTTTACTGAACAGTTATAGTGATCATGTAGTTGAGCATACGTAAACAGAATGATAACAGCGCATAACCATACAGTAAGAATAATACAGTCTAACACTAACCCCGTACTTGCAAACTTTTCCCCAATGTCCAGAAAGCAGCCTGGCTGCGCCTGAATGTTCCTGAGCAAGATATAACGTTGGGGTGCACCCTAAGTATTGCGTAATACTATTTGTAATCCAAAGGAAAGTGGAGTGTGTCTCTTATAACTTTCTGGTATATCCAAAATGTCACTGACCACGTGTGGTGCGATGTGCTGCGGCAAAGCCGCACTTACAGTTCCCTGGCAGGCTCTTGGTGCTTTTCCCTGATCCACTTCCGAACCGGACCATACAGTCACTTGTTTCCTGGTCTCGTTGTGAATCTTCCCTAGGTGCCGTCACCAGATTCCACTGTGAGCCGTAAATCCTCTTCCAGGCCCCACACAGATTCTCCAGACGTCCTCAGCATCCAACAGCCAGACCCAGACTTCACTTCCTCCTCAGCACAGGAACTCCTCCCCTTCCCAGAGGGTTTGTGATGCAGTAAATAATTTCCTAATTGCAGCCTCAAACCTGTATTTACAGTTCACTATGACTCTTCTGAGGGTCCTACTCAACCCCTAAATTAGCATTCATTAAACTTTATAAGGTAAATAAGTATTGGTTCTGTCTTAGCAAAAGTCTCTGCAAACTTGATTCTCGTACTTTGCTGCCATCTACTGACCAAAGAGCATATTACAGGCACATTATAGTTTAACATTGGACATCAGAATTTATCCATGCGTCACACCCTTACACTTATAAAAAAAATGGAACGCCCGTGTGAAAGGGACCTGAGGGTTAGTGTAAAGTTAGTGATAGCAATAATAATGTCTGCATCTGTTAACATCCGTTCTTTTGAATGGAAGAAAACCCTATTTTTCTTCAGTTAAAACAAACGGAACACACAAAAAACGGATGTAAATGGATGTAAAACAAACAAAAATGGATGTGAACAGACAAAAAAACTGATGAAAAATGGATAAAAAACGGATGTAAACTGATAAAAACTGACATAAAACTGATGAAAAACTGGTGTGAACTGATGTTTCTGCTTGGAAAAAATGTGACTGAACTGATGAAAAAAAAACGAACGCCCGTGTGAAAGGGGCCTTAGGGTTAGTGCAAAGTTAGGGTTAGCAATAGAGTTCTAATAGAGCCATGCTTTGCTGGGCTTTTTTGCCTTCCTCTGGACCAACTGTGGGTGTAGGATTATAACTTTTTTTTATTTTTTTTTTTATTGGTTGAACTAGATGAACATTTGTCTTTTTTCAGCCAGACTAACTATGTAAGTTAAAGAGAGGATTAACTTTAGTGTTAGGGTTTGAATTACATTAGATTTAGAGTTAGGGTTAGAATTAGATCTGCAGGTGTTATGAGTAATAGAGTCAGTGCTAGAGTTGGGGTTATTGTTAGGGTTACCATTAGTGTTAGGATACGTTTTAGGGTTTGAATTAGAGTTAGAGTTAGGAATATTGTTAGTGCTAGAAATAGGGTAAGTGTTGAGTTAGGTTGAGCGATAGAGTTACAGTGGATGCTAGGGTTAGGGTTAGCAATTAGTGTTAGGATTAATTTTAGGGTTTGAATTATTATTATTATACAGGATTTATATCGCGCCAACAGTTTGCTCAGCGCTTTACAATACAGCAACAATACAGTTCAATACAAGAGGGATATGAGGGCCCTGATCCTGGGAGCTTACAATCTAAGAGGGAGGGGCTAGTGGTACAAAAGGTAGTAACTGTGGGGGATGGACTGGTAGGAGGAATAGAAGATTCCATTATTAGCGGAGGGCAGGATAGGCTTCCCTGAAGAGAGAGGTTTTCAGAGATCGCCTAAATGTGAGCAGAGTAGGCGATAGTCTGATAAATTGGGGTAGAGAGTTTCAGAGGATGGGGGAAGTTCTGGAGAAGTCCTGGAGACGAGCATGGGAGGAGGAGACAAGGGAGCTAGGGAGTAGGAGGTCTTGCGAGGAGCTGAGAGGATGGTTTGGGTGATATTTGGAGACAAGATCAGTGATGTAATTTGGGGCAGAGTTATAAATGGCTTTATATGTTATTGTTAGTTTTGAATTTTATCCGTTGGGCAATGGGAAGCCAGTGGGGGGATTGGCAGAGAGGGATGGAGGACACTGAGTGGAGGCCAGTGGAGGGATTGGCAGAGAGGGGTGGAGGAAACTGAGTGGAGGCCAGTGGAGGGATTGGCAGAGAAGAGTGGAGGACATTGAGTGGAGGCCAGTGGAGGGATTGGCAGAGAGGGGTGGAGGAAGCTAAATGGAGGCCAGTGGAGGGATTGGCAGAGAGGGGTGGAGGACACTGAGTGGAGGCCAGTGGAGGGATTGGCAGAGAGGGGTGGCAGATACAGAACGGTTAGTAAGGTGAATGACTTTGGCAGCAACATTCATGAGACTGAAGAGGGGATAGCCTGCGATGAGGTCGGCCAATGAGGAGGGAGTTACAATAGTCAAGGCGAGATATAACAGGGAAGGAATAAGTTGCTTAGGGGTTTCCAAGGTTAGGAACGGGCGTATTTTGGAGATGTTGCGGAGGTGAAGTCTACAAGATTTGGACAGCGATTGGATTTGGGAGTGAAAGGATGCTTGAGTGGTGTGACGTCAGCGCAATCCTAGTATCGTTACAGCACATATGTATCGGCATCTGACTTGGCTGATTATGCTGCTGTCGGTTGGACACCATTTTTTGTAAGTGTGTTTTAGTATTAATAAAGCAACATTTTTAAGAGGTACTGCACCATGAGCTTCTGTTTTTATATATTCCGAGTGGCCATTCCAATACCCCTTGTATAGGATGGGATATGTATGAAGTGGATCTACAGAGTCTCCTGCAGAGTATTGCTCCAGGATTAACCACTTGCCGTCCGCCTGCTGTTTTATAAACGGCAGGGCGGTGGCACTCCAGGGGCGGGTTGCCATTCATAAACAGCACCCGCCTTTTTTAGCTGTGCGCGCTCCCTGGGAGCACGCAGCACCGCGATCCGGTGCCCGCTGTGTCCTCCGGACACCGATCGTCGGACAGGACCTCTGTACGAGGTCCCGATCATGTGATCACTGATTGGCCAATCAATGATCACATGCAAAGTAGTAAGCAAGATGTCATTTGTGACATCATTGCTTACTACGTGTGAAATCTGTGAATGATCACAGAGGTCACATGGTACAAGGCTATTCACAACAGCCTTGTACCATGTGACAAGCTGTGACCAATCACCCCCCACAAGTAGTACAGTGTCACCATGGGTGACAGTATGTAAAAAAAAAACATAAATAATAATATAAAAAAATAAAATAAAAATGTAAAAAAATGTTTAAAAATTATAATTTTTGGTTATAAACTAATTTGGCTTATTTTTTTTTTTTACTAAAAATATAACGGAATACATTTTGGTTAAGATTTATGAAGAAAGATTATTTATTTGCAACATTTTATAATAAGAAAAACACTTTTTTTCAAAATTTTTGGACTTTTTCATTTACATACCAAAAAAATAAAAATCCCAGTGGTGAATAAATACCACCAAAATAAAGCTTTATCTGTCTCAAAAAAATGGTAAAACATTCATACCGGTACAGTGTTGCATGACCGTGCAATTGTCATTTAAAGTGTGATAGCGCTGAAAGCTGAAAATTGCCCTGGTCAGGAAGGAGGTAAAAGTGTTCGGACTGGAAGGGGGGGGGGGGGGGAGTGTCCGGACTGGAGGGGGGTAAAAGTGTCCGGACTGGAAGGGGGGGGTGAAAGTGTCCAGACTGGAAGGGGGTGAAAGTGTCCGGACTGGAAGGGGGGGAAAGTGTCCAGACTGGAAGGGGGGGAAAGTGTCCAGACTGGAAAGGGGGGGAAAGTGTCCGGACTGGAAGGGGGTGAAAGTGTCCGGACTGGAAAGGGGTGAAAGTGTCCGGACTGGAAGGGGTGAAAGTGTCCGGACTGGAAGGGGGGGAAAAGCGTCCGGACTGAAAGGGGGGGAAAAGCGTCCGGACTGGAAGGGGGTGAAAGTGTCCGGACTGTAAGGGGGGAAAGTGTCCGGACTGGAATGGGGGGGGAAAGTGTCCAGACTGGAAGGGGTGAAAGTGTCCAAAGGGGGTGAAAGTGTCCAGACTGGAAGGGGGGGAGTGTCCAGACTGGAAGGGGGGGAAAGTTCCAGACTGGAAGGGGGGGGAAAGTGTCCGGACTGGAAGGGGGTGAAAGTGTCCGGACTGGAAGGGGGTAAAGTGTCCGGCTGGAAGGGGGGAAAGTGGGCCCCGGCTGGAAGGGGGTGAAAGGCCCGGACTGGGGGGGGGAACGCCACTGGAAAGGGGGGTAAAA